TGATTGATGTGACAAAAAGAGATAGAAGAAAATGAATTATAAGAAAGTACTGTGAAAATGTGATAGGATAAATATAATTTTTGGAAAGGTAGCCTAAGATTTGGCAATCTGAGTGGTAGGAAGAAACGAGGGTACATGTTGTTGAGTAGGGGAATCAGTGAAGGCAACGAGGGGTAGGAAAAAGGAGAAACAGAGTTGTGAAATTTACATGGAAAAGTTAGAAACATGTTGATGGAGTAGCCATAATGTGGCATATACAGAGTCAGTTACATCCACATGGTGATAATTGCCATTCACTTGACCCTGTGATGCTAATGGGTGGCTACAAAACCCCACCCCCTATCTTTCTTTCCCAAGTAACATCCTCTGCATTAATCATCACTATCTCTTTGATCACAACATTTCAACCGTGGAAATTGGATTGGATTCGAATACCGCATTTCTTTTTTCAGAGGTCACCCATGTTTGGCAAGTCCCTTCATTGCACACTGCAAATTTCTTGTTTTGTCTTTTTTATTTTATATGTTTTCTTTTCTAGAAGATACAGTCCACATAATGCTCTAGGATCTCTCCTTGTAAATATGTTCAATATTAAATACACATCAAAATTCAACAACACACTCTTGAGTAAGATTAAGTGGTTTCTAGACTCATGTGCGTTGACTGTGCTACATCTTCGACTTAACATCTTATAATTGTCAACATCTCTCTTAATAACAATTTAAATATTGATTTATCATGTTAGGAGAAATCAGTCTCTTTTGTTTTACTTAATCAAAGTTTAGTATAAGATGTACAACTATTAATTTGAGTATTTAATTTTCGTATAAATCTAATTTTTGCTATTGGTTTGAATTTATGGTAATTTTTAATTTATATTATGAAATATAAGAGGAGAACTAGGTCCCTTTTAAATATTATAATTTTTTAAAATAATTTTAATCTGTTTTAATTTTATTTTTAAAAGATTGAGATATGATTATATAAATTATTTTTAATCTTTATTTTTAAATTACGTCAGATTCAAAATATATAAACATAAAAAAGATAAATATAGATGAAAACTCCATAATCGAATATTAATATTATATATATATATATATATATATATATATATATATTTATTTATTAATATCTCATGGTCAATGTGAATATACCACAGAGTTAGGAAGATTTGGTGAAGGATAGGAAGGAGCATTTTGTATGAGACAAAGTAAGGGGGAAGAGGAGGGGAAAAGTAAAGAAAAGCAATTGCAGATGATTTTTTGGTTAATACTTTTTACTACAATTCTTCAAAGTTCAAGCTATTTAAGAAACCAATTGTGGTCCTTGTTCTTCACCAAATCATGTATTTTTAAATCATAGAGAGAAAAGAAGAAAAAGTTCTCCAACTCTACTCATATGCCACCATGTATTCTCATTGACTTTGTCTTGTCAAGACAATGCATACTCAACACCACCTAATGGAACCAATCAACTCAAACCTATTAATAAAATTATTAAATGATATGCATAAATATATGTATCATGATCAGGTCTTGATACTAGGATCAAAGGGTCATAGAAAATAGTAGGAAGTAGAAACAAGTCTAATAATAAGTCTTTACCCTCACGAAAACGCATGAAACCCTATTCATGAGACAAAGACAAAATGTTGAAAAGTGCACCGAGCAGAAAAATTCCAAAGACCAATTAGCTTCCGAATCCCCCAAAATTGTGGTTATGATTAGTTTAATAGTCAGTTTCAGTGAATAAAGCCATCACTTGTTCCGAATAAGACCAAACAGCTGGTAAATGTGATTAATTAAAAAAGTGAACAAAAACAGAGAAAAATCTTGCATATGGGTCTTTTGGATGGTTCCAAATCCTAATACTGTATTTTCTTAGAAATTTCTTAGTCTTCTCCTCCGTAAGACCCGTTCTCTCTCAAGGTTGTCCAAAATCTGTTATTTTCTGTTGAGTGTTGAGGGCATCTTCAGAATGCACAATTTTTGTTAGGCACACTAGTCAAGTTTAGAGGAAAAGGTTGAAGATTGACCATAAACTTATGAATAGGTCACAATTTGAATTAATTAATGCATTGATGGGTGTGTGTGTTTTTGAGATAGGATTGAATGGGACTTGGAAAGGAAGGGGGGGTGAATCTTAAACTGGGCCTTAAGCTAACCACATATTTGGTCACACATGTCAATAACAGGTCCAATTCCACACAACTTGATGACTTTCGAATTCTAAGTACCCAATCACCATGTTTATGCCTCTGCTACTCACCCTATGATCTAGATATTTTATGTTGCCATTGGGGATTCATTTCAGATTCTTTATTCTTGACCACTTGCATTTCTTTGGTGTCTTTCCTCCTTGCAATTTCTCTTTTTACTCTGTTGTTGTTGATTGCACTTCACATTTAAATAAGTAAAACTCAAACTTTTTTTTCTTATAAATATTTGGCCTTCTAAAATCTTAACTCGATTTAACTTATTTCCACCACGTAATCTACAATTCGAAAGAACACAAACTTAATAATTAGATTAGTTAAAAATTCAGTTTCACCTATATTTTTGGAGGATATAATTTGTTTGTTTTATTACATTAACAAGTCAATTTTAATTTTATTAAAAATTAAAAAATATTAACGTTTTTATATAAAATAAATAATTAAAAATATCTAAATAAAATAAAAATATATTTTAAAAATTTAAATTATAATAATAAAATTAATTTTTATTTCAAATATAATAATTTAATATATAAATTATAAAAAAATATATAGTTAATATAAAAATAAGAGCTAAAAAATTAAAAGAATTCTGCACACAAGTGTTGGTTAATAAAACCTGATTTAATTGGATTCTTTCTTACTTGAATTCGGAAATATGAATGTCTAAAACTATGACTCATTCACATTGCCTTTTCATTTTAAAACGTAACAAATTATTGCTAATAAATGGATTTTGCTATAGATCCGCTCCTTGTGTTTAGACCCACATAAACAAATAGCACCGCGGCCCGATAATAATGAGATCCTGTAAATTTCAAAACCTATTATTTTATGAGAATTTGACATTGAACATGCAACAGGGCTAAAAAAAAAATGAATCAATTTACTTAATTCAGTGATATATAACAAGTCGAATTATAAAAAATTTAATTCATAAAAGATTAAGTCAATTGGAATGAGATTATTCACTTTTCACACACCTAACACTTAAAATCTTTCATGTTACCATCATATAAATTCACTATCATATGTTGGTCGTGTGCCATAATTCTACAAATAAATTTTATAATAATAATAATAATAATAATAATTTATTTTAGAGTTAATATGGTGCGTGTGATTTTGAAGAAATTTGGAAGATGGAAAAGTTGGAATTGACTCTGTACATGTTATTGGATCTTGTGGCAGACCTTTAATTTCACTTTACCCACCTACTGCAACTTCATGTGATAATATTTATTCGAGTTTGACTTTCGATATGTTTGACCTTAGAGTGATAATTGAAAGCACACTAGTAGAGTATTTTTATTTTTTTTAGTGGAAAGGAAACTATTAATTGCTATGTGTATCCTTTTTCTATATAATATATATATATATATATATATATATATATATATATATATATATATATATATATATATATATATATATGCAATTCATTATCGTTGATATAATTTTCCCTCTTCATAATATTATAATTTAGACTTTGTTTGATTTTGAATCATGTTTTCTTATTTTTAGTCTGTTTCATTAAAGATCTGTTTTGGAGTAAAAAACTTCTGGACCTTCAGAAATCAAGGAATTTGACAGAAGGGTTTGGATTTCTATACGCAATAAATTTGTTAATTTTTATAATAATCATCTTAAAAGGTCCCCAACACTGATTTTTATACTCAATCACTAAACTCATAATTTTAATTAACTGTGATTGGATGAATATTGTTATTTATTCTATTCCTCTCAAATAGGATAAGTATTATATTCAACTGGTTTTCAAGAATTCAAAATATTTTTGCATTAAGTTGTTTGTTTGGGTCAGAGCGTCGTCTCATTAGTTAACCTAGAGGCCCTCTGCATCCAACGGCCCACTAATTGACTCCATAGGCCCATTGAAAGGCCCTGAGTCGAAAGCACCAGCATTCCCATAAAAAATGCAAATAATAGAAAATGAAAAATAAGAAGGAGATAGTGCAACGCAGAGTTTTGTAGCGGAAAAGAGAGGGTTTTTCATTTAGCATTCACCGGCCGCACTCTTGGTCTCTTGAGGGATTCCATTATCTCGGCTCTCACTTCAACGCGCGTTGAGGTTCCCTTTCGTTTTCGCTTATCCAATATCTTTTTTTTTTCTCTCTTTTTTTTTGTTAGCCGGTGTCTGCACCGAATCGATTTCAATTGATTTTACGTTTTGGCTCTTCGGTGTCCAAAATCGGTGCTATTTTTTGCGTTTATTTTTCCATTTCCTGTTATTCGTTTCGATGCGTTTCTGAAATTTATTTGTCGCATCTGTACGGCGTGCTAGGTTTTGTAATATATGGCCAAGTAATCGTTTTCAAAAAGATGTTTAGAGCACACAATAAGCTAATAGTAAGAATCAGGGAGTTGCGTATGGATCTGTGATTTTCGCAATTTCTGTAGATGAAGAAGGTTCCTCCTGCTAGTTGATGGTCGTGCTCGATTTGTTAAGATTCTCGTTGTGCATTAGCGATTATTTTTTATTTGTCATGTTTAATTAGGTTTTAAAACTTGTAAATTTATAGTTTCAACTGTTCAACCAGCAAGGGTCTCGCGTTTTCTTTTTAATTGTTTTTCCTTCTTTTGGATTATTGGTTTATATAACTTTGGAACTTTCCCTAGTAGAACAAAGAGTGTTTCGGGTTTCCTATAAAATGATGCTCTGACCGGGTTTCCTTAATTACTCTATTTCCTCCCTATGTTTTTTCTAGCCCTTCCTAATTCTCTAATTATTTACAAAAATTATTTTTCATGTGTTTCAGCAATCATGGCGGACGAAGCACAAAATGAGATGAAGGAGGAGATTCCAGAAGTGAGTTCATTAACCCCTTAATTATCTATAACTCCAAATATGCTTTTCCGTTGTGTGATTCTCTTTATTGGGCATTAGGCCAAAAAGTTAGTTTTTTTTTACGCTTCATTTCTTGTACTATTGCTTTTTTGTTATAATGGTCTTGTGTTGCATCTTTCGGTCACCGTTCAACTTTGTTAGTTGAGACTTCAGTTTGTTGTAGCAGTACCATCAGCTGATACGTGAATTTCTAAATCACAGATTGTACCTTTTGACCCTACCAAGAAGAAGAAGAAAAAGAAAATTACTATTGTTGATCCTGCTGATGACTCGGTGGACAAATTGGCTGAGAAGACAGAAAATCTCGCTGGTATGCAAGAATAAAACAAACAATTTCCTTTCGTGGTTATGATTTCAGTTCTATCTGGCTATTGTGCATATGTTTGATATTCTCATTTATTTTTTTACTTGCAGTTTCTGATGGGGTTGAGGCTGCATTTACTGGTTTGAAAAAGAAGAAGAAGAAGGCTGTAAGTCATCATTTTTTTTATCAATGTGTCATTCTTTTTCCACTGCATAATTACATCTCTTCAGAGTTTAAGTTTTTCATGTGGCTAGTTTTTTGTTGTAAGCAATTTGAAACCTGATGTTTGATTATAGGTTGAAATCAGTAACTTCAATGATGATAGTGGAGATGCAACTGAAGATTTGGATGGTGAGCAACATATACCTGTGTAAATATTTTGTTATTGTGAATATTGGAGGAGTTTGTACCTGTTCTAACTGAATTATGTCTTTAGGGGAGCTTATCGAACATTTAGCATTTGTTTAACTTTTGCTTTTAGATCATGCTGAAGATGATGAAGGAGAAGCGGTTGCTCCGCAGGCTCGCTACCCTTGGGAAGGGAGCGATCGTGATTATGAGTATGAGGAGGTTTGTCATATTTTAAGTGTTTTTCTCCTGCACTGTTATAGTGAACTCTCTGTTTAAATGTCAATGTGAAACTTATTTTATTTTTGATTTTATCTTCATCACTTTGTTGAAAAATGTTTCTGAGCTGATTTTAATTTCTTCCATAGTTTTGATAATTTATTTTGTGGATCTGCCCTGGTATATCTCAACAAATATCAGTTTTCTATAAACTTTCACCTGTATAATTTTTTTTTTCTGATAGTGTCCAACAATAAATCCATAAAATATTGCCCAAGTCATTTATTATATATACACCCTGTTATTCCTTGTAAACTACTTGTCCAGCTTACCCCTTCCCATGCATATCTCTTCTGGATTCTGATGTTTTTCCTGCAGCTTCTTGGCAGGGTTTTTAACATTCTACGTGAGAATAATCCTGAACTTGCTGGAGATCGGCGAAGGACAGTTATGAGGCCTCCACAAGTTCTACGTGAAGGCACAAAGAAAACTGTGTTTGTGAATTTTATGGATCTATGCAAAACGTATGTTAATATTTTATTCAAAATGCTCAATGGGATAGAGTGACATGACGTGAGTTGATTCACTAAGCACTTGGCCAGATTTTTGTCTTCGTCTATTTTCTTTTAATTTTATTATTCACTCAATGAACCATGGACCTACCATTTGTGATGTATTGATAGGAAATTAATTCCTACATATATATATATATATATATATATATATATATATATATATATATATATATATTTATATATGATACCGTCCATGACTTTTGTGGGTTGGAGGAGGATCATTCGCCGAATCCAAACCCAAGTCCAGAAAGCTAGGTGTTAGAATGTATGACCGAGAACTAGTTTCTGGAGGGATCCCTATTATCTGGAATTGCCTTTAAGGCGTGTCAATGAATTCGAAGAAATTTCTCTTTCAATTTCTGTTAATTGGTGTTCCATCAGTATGGCAATGCTGATATTTTGTCACTCTGATACACAAAGATCCTGAATGGCCACTAGACTTCCTAATTATAGAGCGAGTAGTTTTGAGCTGACATATAAGCCAAAGTGTTTTATTTTTCTTCGAATTAATTTTTCATGTACGAATGCCAATCTATAAATGCCTGCAAAATAGAAGTTGAGACTATTTTCTACAGAACTGTTGGCTGTGTTCATCTAATAATGATTATTCCATTTTTTTTATTTCCTTTGTTGACTGTATGTTTTACTCCATGCTTTATTTGTATGCACCTAATAATATAGGAATTTAATGCATATATGCTTCCCTTTCTTTAATGTACTTCTTGCAATCTTTTAGGATGCATCGGCAGCCAGACCATGTCATGGCTTTCTTGCTTGCTGAATTGGGTACAAGTGGCTCCCTTGATGGACAGCAGAGATTGGTTGTGAAGGGAAGGTTTGCACCAAAGAACTTTGAAGGAATTTTGCGACGATATGTCAGTAAGTACTCAGTTTTCATATTCGATAATCTGTTGTTTTAGAAATGGAAGGTTAGCAACTATGAAAGTTCTTGTTGTGTTAGTTGTTGTTTGTATTGCTTTATATAAATTTTCCACATATGGTTTTTTAATACATCCAGCCTTGCAGAGGACATGAACATCAAAAACTTCCTATCGATATTTATATCAGTTGTAGTTGATCTTTACTTTTGTTTTTCTCAGATGAATATGTCATTTGCCTTGGATGCAAGAGCCCAGACACTATACTTACCAAGGAGAATCGTCTGTTCTTTCTTCGGTGTGAGAAGGTTAATTTTCTTTACACTTTTGCTTTTTTCACTTTTTCCTCTTTTATAGTTTTCATGCCAAGTACCCACCTACCGACAATCATATCTCTCAAACAAGATTTCTTTTGTAAATGGTTTGTCTTATTTAATACCATTTATGTTTATACTTAGCATTTTATAGAGTTCATAATGATTTGCATAAGCTTAGAAGTCTATTTCATGTAGATGTGGATGATGTAGTGTCATAACCTTCCACTTTTAGTCATTTAAAACCAATGATTTAACACCCCAATTAAACATGGATTTGATTTTTACTTCATCGATTTTTTTTTGTTGAGTAATTTCTCATCATTATGCTGAAGGTTGATATTTTACCCACGTCTCATTATAATTTTTGGTTAACGAAAGTTATTTTATCTTATACTGAAAAAAAGTACTTGTGTTCATTTTTACAATTTATCATTAAATATTTATTTTGCTTACAGTGTGGGTCAGGAAGATCGGTTGCTCCAATCAAGGCTGGTTTTGTTGCTCGTGTTGGCCGAAGGAACACCGGGACATGATTTGCCCCTATTTTTAATAAATGTAATTGGCTGAGGAGATGAACCTTTTTATGGAACGGTATCTTTTAGAGTCAATATTGAGTTTGTTGCAGGAACGGTATCTTTTAGAGTCAATATTTGTTATATCTTGTCCTTTGGGTGCAAGTATAGTTCTTTAGTTGAAAATGATTATCTGCAAACTAGTTTTAGAAAATCGCAAACTTAATTCCATTTAGAAAATTCCGAATGTTATTATCATTTAAAAATTATATTTTGTATATGATATAGATTAGGATAATCTGAACACAATGTAGTGGTGATGGTAGTGTCATAATCATCCAATAGTTGGACACCCAAATAGAAACGTCTCAAATAAGTTTTAGAATTGAAGATATTCATAATATAGAAGATTTGAACTTATATTACAAGAAAATTTACGTTTTGAATGATGGGTTAATACAGTAAAGGAAAGTTTTTTTAAAATAAGCGAATTTTGTCATCTTTATAATTCCCCTTTATTACATAATGTTATTACAAAAAACATGAAAACTATTATGAACAATATCGATTCGGTATATGGTATTGTATAAGGCTGGATGTATATGTAAATAATTTGGTTTCGTATCGTAGCTTACTAAGTATTTTTTTTTAGAGAATCCTACAAAATTGATTATCTACTCTTGATAATTTTGTGGAAAATGATTGTTTTGTGATATCAAGATGCTCGTTTTGTGGTAAATGAATAAAATTATTATAATATTTTTGTAAAAATATGAAGAGAATATGAAATTTGTATGGAAATATTTATAATTACCATCTTGAATTGATAACCATGATATTTTATTGGTGTTTTTAAAATATCTATAATTTTAATAGGTATAATATCTTAATAAATAAATGGGATTTACCTAAATTTAAATTAGTTAATTTTGTTTTTTTAAGTGTGAATCTTGGAGTTTTTGTTATAATACGTAATGTGCTGTAAAATGATCCGTGATTATAGAGTTATAAATTTAATTGAAATGTCCAATTTTTATATTAATATATTTTTGTTTACACATCCAATATTATAAAAAATATTATATTTGGTTTTTTAATTTAACTAGAACGATGACAATAATAATCACATCAAAATTCATTCTAAAATAATCTCTTATCAAAATTTATAATATATATATATATATATATATATATATATATATTTGAATTAATTATTAAACTCTTAATTCGAAAAATCATATCAAGAAGAAAAATGCAAAATTTTCTCTATGAATCTTTATTTACCACTTGGGCCAACATAGATTGGTATTTTTATGTATGTATATAACATACACAATAACAAGTAATTGTTGTTAATAATTAAATTTGTCTGTTATATTTTTTTCCTTATTGGTCCATGCATACCGAGAGTAATCTACAGCACTAGCTTATTCATTTGTATGGATTACATATGAAATCGTGAGACTCAAGATTCAACTAAATGTCCATGTTTCTGCCATCTGCTCTGTTCCCTGTCCATTCACATATGACCGAGAAAACTGTCACAGGCTAAAGGTGGCGATGAAGGCCATGGTGGTTAGTGTTGAAACAAGGGGCATATAAAGTCTCCCGTACAAACTGGTGGCACTGTTAGGATTCTGAGTCGTAACATTTGTATTGAAACCTGCATGACCAAAACTAACTTTCAATCTTTTCGTTACAATCCCTATAAACCTTCTAGAGTTTAGGTTCAATCGTATTTTGATCCTTTTAAGTATCATAACAAGTGTGATTTCAGTTCTTCAAATATCACACGTGCAATTGGACCTCTCATGTATCTTAAATATATCATTTTATTGAGTTACTGGATCCTTCATAATTACTCAAGATAGATGAATATAATGTGTGAAATAATATGTATACTTTAAAGAGACCTGCTACTTGAATTGAAATATGAAGAACTAAAATCATATATTTACTATACTTAATCAGTTCAATTAACATAATTAAAACTCAAAATATTAAAACTGTAATTAAATCCATAATATATATATATATATATATATATATATATATATATATATATATATATATATATATATATATATATATATATTTTATATGTGTGAAAATAGTCGTTGGAATGAAAATTTTTGTTTAGATCTAATAATTTGTAAATTTGCACGTATCGTTATCTTTGACATTCCTGATACAAGTAGTGTTAAAAAATTGTTTAGATAATTTATTTTATAAGTATAAAAAAATTACATGAGTTTAAATTAACTTATATATAAATGAATTTATGAAAACCCTTTTATAATGTGAAGTAATTTATAAAATTCTCTGGCACACACATGAAAATGTTAGTTTATAATTTATCTTTTCTTAAAAATGTTTTTAAGAAAATTTATCAAAAGATATCGAAATTTGTTACCATAGAGCTGACTAGCGCAAGCCCTTGAAGTAACATTACTGATGTAGGAGATGGGTTGATTGGTCTGGAAGAAGAAGTCTGGCTTCACATCTTTGATGCAACTTAAGACATATGAAGTGTGATTAAAGCAACCATTGTTGCAAAAATTCTTGATCTCAGAATCATGCACATTTATCACACCCTCCATTCCAAGTGTGTATCCTTCTTTTATCCTACAAGAATCTGATGCCTACACATATATGTTCAAATAATACGCATTAATCAAACAGATAAAACTACACAGATTATGTTCATTGCTAACGCATAGCAGTTAACAATGATAAGGAGTAATTTAGAAAGCAATCACATATAACTCATTACATTCAACAAGCATAAGTAAGCACTCCTCCAACTCTGGAATGGACTTAGATTTACATTTCTCCTTGGTTCAGTTGTATCTGAAAGGAGCACACAAAAAACCATTTTTTTATATTTGTATAGTGTCAGGAATTTTCTACAAGATATAATCAACAAATGAACAGTAAGGAAATAAGGTTTATGAATAGAAGTGTTTAAGTATATCTTGTTTTTTTATAATCATAGAGGAAATTAGGTAAACCATTTTCATATTGACTTGAGTTATTTTCAATCGAACAAGTATTTAAACTGTAAACAAACTCTTCCGAATACACCTAGAAAGAAAAAGAAAGTGAGAAAATAAAAGAGAGGTACTAACTTTCTGCATTTACGTGGCTAAGGAGGAGAAAAAATGTCCCCAGAGAAAAGCAAATAAGGAAGCTGCTTTTGCCACACATCATCATTCTTAATGATCAAATTACCGACACTTGTTTGACCAGTTGTCTTATGAGCAAACTCTGGCATTGCAGGATGTTGTATTTATAAATCTCAGATCTATAAAACTTGTTGAGATCAAAACTAGGACAAACGTTGTTATTTTCAGCATATGATAAGAATATAGTATCAAGCATCAAGCATTTGACACAAACAAGGTCACGTTTGAAATTTTAGAAACATAACAATATGATGATTTATCCTCGAGACAGAAGATAATGAAACATGTTTTGGAGGTTTCTGTCGGAACTAAAGAGGTTGAAATACTATGATTGCATCGAACAACAAAGTAAATCTTGAAGGGTTGTTCTTTCCTTCATTACATAGCCAACTCCATAAGTAGCTGCTCGTGTTTAAAATTTTGTAAAAAGTATATTAATTCACCTTTTACAGAAACTCACATTACTGTAAAGATAATTTGATTAGTGTATTTATTCCCATTGTAAACTTCGAAGTCTTTATAATTATATTTCAATCAAATTTTAATTTAATCACCAAAGTTTAAATAATCTCATTTTAATTTTTTTTAATTAGTAATAATTTCAAAACTACACATAGTCTTCTATATAAAAAAAAAAAGGATGAGTAAGTTTAGTTGTTAATTATTTTGTGTTCAAACATTGATGATCTATACACTAATAAAAAATTATGTTCAATTTTATTTTTGTTAAAAAATTCGTGACATCTGTCATCATTATCGTTTGAAAAAAAAAAAATTCTAAGAAGAGAATGATATTATTCCATGAGACTTGCAGTTTTAGTTAAGAATAGATTAATAGGTAGGACTAAGAGGTGAGACTAATGGGTGACACAGATATAAAGAAATATTAAGCATGGTCTAATATAATTGACTTCTCAAATTCCTGTCCCTCAATTTTAAAAGTGCTTTTCATAATTTGGAGCTTCTTTTTATTTCGACCATTAAAAAAGACAAAAATAAAAAGCAAAAGACTTTTACTTTTGGCCACGAATAATGGAAGGTTTTCGACATATGCAGAATAATCAATAATTCATCCCACTAGATGTTGGGGTGCTTCAGAGCAACAATGTGAAGTTCCCAATTAAAATAATGAGGTCATAAAGTTCATTTGATATAAAATTGTGCAATTGAAAGTTTTATATATATTAAAATAATTTATTTCCATTGAGTGTGTACATCAAATCACATTGGAAATTTCATGAGAATGATGAGGCAGAGGTTGAAGTTTAAAAGGTGTTACCAGATGTTGCCTTCTTGGATCACCCTCAAGGCATAAAGAAAGCCAAACCAGCCATTATGTAATCATTTTTCTTTAATTATTTTAAATTAATTTGTTACTCCATTTTTAATCTGCCATACATATATATTCATTGTCGTATCCCGTTCAAGTATAAGAGTTGAAAACTTTATCGACTTTAAAATTCTTTGAGATTAATAAAAAAATTTGACAACTTTGAAATCGAATTTCAAGATCTTTATATTAATAATAAAACATTCACACCTAATATATTTTTCACTGGGTATGTTTTGTTTCTTGATAATGACTTTAATCAATATATATAGTAGTATAATGTGACATGGTTCATAAACATTATTTTCCATTAACTTAAGAGTTTTCACACCCAAAATACATGTTATGTTACAAAAGTATATTGAGGAATCAAAGCTTAAAAAGAATCTAAAAATTATTTGACTTTGTTATTAAAATTTCATTCCAAATCTTATTCAATCTAATATGCATCAAATAAAATTTGTTACGTCTATAAACAAATGGATACTCTGGATTCAAGTTCATTATAAACCATTATCATATCTGGAATAAATCTCATAAACAACTCTAATCTTAAAATTCATTTTTTTTTTAAGAATGGTGATATTTTGACAACCAAAAATCATACACTCCTTTCGATAACTCACTTTTATTAATATAATAATCTATTAAATGATTTAATAATAATAAAAATAAATTAAAATTATTATTATAATATTAAAAAAGAATTGTTAATCGAAATTGTATGAATTTAGGTTATCCAAATATTTTTTTATCGATAAAATACGTTGTAATAATCCAACTATCTTATGAATTTAGGTTATCAAAATATTTTTTTTCAATAAAATACGTTGTAATAATCCAACTATATTAGGTAATAAAGTCAACCGCCAAAAACTAATTTCCCGTTACATACAACTTTGTCTCCAAGTTAAATTAAAGTGAGCATTAATTATTATACCGCGTTTGTTTGAAAAAAATTGAAAGCTACGACGGTCCCTTGCGCTGGTTCCTTACATTAATAGAGGCTATGCACATACATTAATCTAATCTAACTTTCTGGTCACATTTTTGGGTTAATTGTTAAATTGAGTAATGGTAGGTACCTCAAAGATGAACTATAATGGAAGAAGCGTGGTACCTTCAAGATTCATTCGTAATCGTAATTAATGATATCTCACTTTTCTTTTAATTTTAAGGCATGAATTGCACGATGTAGGTTTTTCTAATCAGGAATTCAGAAAAAGATATTCCAACCTCCAACTACAGGTAAATGTGAACACACACACTGAATTTTGGGAAAAAATAAATTATTATTATTATTATTTTGACTTTTAATTTGTTTTTAATTAGAGTGAATGTATCTAACATTATTAAATTTTCTAAAGAGTAACATAACCCTGATATTTGTTAAGCGTATGTTAATTGTATGGTAAGAGAAAATTTATATGTTTAAATAATTTCATAGATCCAAATTATTTTAAGATTATTTTAATGATTATGTTTTGCATTTATTTTTATACTTTTAAAAAAATAATCCAATTCAATTAATTCGATTTAGATGGGATATGAATTAAATTTAATTGGATTTTTTTTTAAATCAAAGTTTGGTAAGACAATTTTTTCTTGGTTTCAACTGATATTTATGTTTTGTTCCATCTACAAGGTATTTTATTTGATTTGGATTACACTCGAGACATGGTTGAATCACTATACCCTAAGTAAGAATACCATTGATTATTATATTAATCATAAATTTTATTTATCACAAATTATTATTATTTTTTAAAGACTAATATTTAAAAAAGTATTAATTTATTATATTAAAAATGGATAAATATATTGAAAATATGTATGTGCTCATGTTGTTACAAGATAAAAATGTGACAAATTTTGTAAAACAGGTAATGCATGAAATTTATAAAATTATTATGTTAATATACATATTTAAAATAATGATATTAATGAAAGGAAACGTATTAATCTATTTTTTAAAATAAATCAAAATAAATTTTTAAAATAAATACGTAATGGACGGCATTAAAACATTTGAAATATTCGTATCTTTAATTAATTGAAATTTTAAATTCAACTCGGCCAGTTGTCAAATGAACAATAACAATTATTTATGGTTGGGATATCATGAAACCCTAAATATCTTAAATAATAATCAACTTAGCGTTTTGAATTCTGAAGCTGAATCCAGTACTCAAGAAGAACTACGCGTTGTATGACAGCATCAGTATATTGATTATACTTTTTTCTATTTATTATTTTTTCTCTTCAATATTTTTCATGGTTATCAAAACCGTCGTAGGATGATAGGTTTGAGCCCTTTAAAATGGGACGAATAATAATTCCATAAAAATTGAATAAATTAATTAATTTTTTTTAAAATAGGAAGAGTTAAGGGCTCATCTAGTTTTTCAGATTAAATGTCGTTATCTCATCTTATATTTTTATTTTTATTTATTTTTTAATATAAAAACATATAAACGTGGAAAAAACGTTATTTTTTTATTAGGAGTAATATTTTTCTTTTTTTACTAAATCTTTATTTTTATAACTTTCATAGTATAGTCTTTTATTATTATTATTTTTTTAGTATCTTTATTATTGTTTATTATTATTATTATTATTATTATTATTAGTACAAATTCAATAATATATAAGAATAATAATCTCCTCCTAATAAATATAATAATATTTTCATAATGGATTAAATATAGTAAATTATTAATGAGTTTTCATAATGAATTAAATAGTAAATTATTAATGAGTTTTGTAATCTTACTTTAAAATAAAATATATAAATTTTATGGTGTAATTTTTTTAAATTATTTTTAAGTTAGATATAATTTAATTTCTTAGTTATTTTTAATTTAATTATAATTTTTTTTAATTATTTTTAAGTTAGGTATAATGATAATTTTTTTAATTATTTTTTTATTTTAAATGTTTGATGATATATTTATTTATTTTAATTTTTTATATATTTTATAAATTATTTTTATTATTATATAATATATTTTTAAATGAGATATATATTAAATTGAAATTATATTCATGATAAATTTATTTTAAGTTTATTATATTATTTGATTACATTTGATTGAATTCGATTAATCTTTTAACCCTAAATTTAATCCCTAAATCTAAGTGTTGATCTCACCAGTGAATCATGATATCTTTTGATTAACAATCTAAATTTTATAATTTTATTTATGTTAATTTATTTACTCAAAAAGTCTTATAATAACAATAATGTGTAATTTTTTATATAATTAGTGACAAAATATAAAACCAGACAACTAATTAGAAAAAATAAATTAAAAATATATATTTAGTTAGTAATAAGACTTTTTAATGAGAAATAATTGAATTGCTAATGTGATAAATCGTATGCTACCAGAATAAAATTATGTATGAATCAAAATGAAAAAAAATAAAATAAGATAAATATTTTAAAGAAAAATATTAAATAAAAAAAATACATGAGATGAAGGGAAGAATTTTGACAAAGGGGGAGAGAATGAAAAAAATAAAAAATAAAAAAATGTGAGAAGAGTGGAAGCTTAGTGGACCATTAAATGTAAGTATCCCTTCCACACTTTCTTTTGCCCTCAGTCCCCACTCCCTCTCTTATTGTTATCATTAAAAACACCTCACAATTCACAACACATAACAAATCTCTGCTCACACTTCAAATCCAAATATCTCCTTATATTTTCAATCTTTTTACATTCTCCGTCTCTCTGTTATCAGATCCATTGCTTCTTCTCCTACTGTTTCTAAATACTCTCTATATCATGTAAGAACCTCTCTCTTCTTCATTCATCATTCGTAGTTTTCTTTGATTCATTTTTTTTTTTCTTTAATTATTTCTGTTATATTAAAATTTCGTTCATGTTTGTGTTTATTTGGTTACATGAAAGGGATTATTCAGATTACATGTGTGTCATGAAATATTGGTTGTGAGGCGGAGGATTCTAGTAATTTGTCTGTATTCATAGTTATCCCACCGCAGTTTTGTTTTCATTCGTAGTCATTATCCTCGGAACTAGATTTTGGATTCACCGGAAGTTTGAATGGCCCAAAAACAGCCTAATTATTGTGAATAATTTTTTTTAAATAAATAAATAAAATAGTTTTCTGTGTGAGTTTTTTTTTTTTTTTTTTTTTAAAGTTAGTCAGGAGATATTTTATTTCTGTGACCAACTTGGATGCAACTACCACGCACGTTTAAGTGAGGCGATTGCACTGCACGCCGCTTGATATAGCTGTAGCCAGTTGTCTGTGATTTTCAGCGCAGAGGTGAGATAAAATTAAAAAAATGAAGGTCAAAATTATGACTATTTATTTAATTATTTATTAACAAATTAAAGAATAAATAACAAAATTTTTGGTTTTTAAATTTGTCCGCGCGCTACTCATGCACGCGGTCATGTGCTTCTCGTTTCTTCGTTGGACGGTTCAATTTCACTGTTGGTCTCGATTTTTCTGCTTTGGGCTTGTCAGGGGAGGTGCAGGCCCACTTAGGTGGGGCCCATATCGGTGATAGTGTGGGAAAATTACCGCATTCATATCGGAGTACTATCATAATAAATATTTTGTTGTCATCTTTTTAAGTCATCTTCAGGCCTTACGCTAACTAATTATTCCACCTTTTGAACTTTGAACGCTGATTTTCTTTTACTTTTTTGGTCTTGTTGTTGACACCAGTGTTTCACCAGCTAGGTAGAACTTGCTCTCTCAAATGGCAGCTTCTGGGGTAAGTGTGATGGAACTTAGTTTTGAATTATGGGATACGGATATACGGTTGCTTCAGATGAATGGTGCGTTCATTGATGCACGTGTTAATGGTGGGGTTTTTTTTTTTATTTCAGGTTCGTTCCAGCAAGCAAATGAGGAGGTTGGAATCGAGGAAGTCCCATTCTTGGTGGTGGGATAGTCACATCAGTCCCAAGAATTCTAAGTGGCTTTCAGAGAACCTCGAGGGTATGCATTTGCAATGGTCTTATGTTGTGTTAATTCTTTGGTACCTGTGTATTCATATAAATTCCCATTCATCGTTTAAAAAGTTAAATTGTTGCTCTGATACTTACAATTCTTTAATCAAAGTTCTCTTATATTCAGCTTTTCTGGTGCGAAAGCTTCATGAACTTCCTCAGTTTTTTCAATTGTTTCTGTAGACCATCTTCACTTCTTCTGTCTCTCTGAAACAAAGTCTCTGTTTGCATGTGGCAAGGCTTAATGCGTAATAGAAACTTATGCATTAAGATCAGCAGGCCTAAAATTTCGTATTAATTTTGCAGAAATTGACAATCACTTATAGCATGAGATATGAAGCAACCCAAATATTATAGACAACTAAAATTGAATAGGGGTGTAAGTAGGTAATAGGAGTGCCGGTGATTCCACCGAATCCATTTATTATGCTTGGAAACAGGATGAACATTTAACTGGTAAGTTTTCATCAGGTCTTGGAGCAAAATCCCCTCCCTAACACCCGCCTCCTTTAGAAAAAGAAGAAATGAACAATGCCTTTCAATTTGCTTTGGGTCTGGTTAATTAGCGGTGTGGGGATGTCTTTTTATATTATTTACACTTGGAGTCAACCTATTATACTTTATAACACTGTTATACTTCTGTCCTATTCCTATCCCCACTGCCTGCTCAACTGACAAGCTTTTCCATTTCTTTCATCTACGTTAATCTGGCTATTTGACATTTCTGGCAACTGGAACGGGTATCGAACACCAGCATGTTTATTTAGCAGAAAAACTACAAAATAAAATTGTTAAAACTTTGGGAAAGAGTGTGTTTCGAATGATAACTCTTTCAACAGTTCAGCTGATATGCTTCTATCTTTTAATTGGACTTTACTATCGTAATTTGTAATGATTATCTCCTATAAAGAGAGATTTGACATCTCTAACGTGAGTAGGTGAACTTTAGAAGAGAGTCTGGATTCATAAATATTGATTAAAAAATCAATAACAACCCAATAGTTCTTAGTAGTTAGTAATACATTAATGTATATTTTATCATTATTTCAGCTATTGATTTTCAAATCTGTGGTTAGAATTCCAAACTTTTTTCTCAGTCCTCACTTTACGGAAGCCAAATTTTGCCTTAAGATATCTATGGATGTTAAATCTTTTAGTTTTGGTGAGTGGAACGCTAATTATCTTTACGTTAAAGGGGCATTTTTTGTTGAAGTTCTGTAAAAATTTTCCCATCCAAAAGTTATTCCCAGGCATATGTTTTGTATATTATTTCTACAAATACACTTCCATTGATAGTGGTGGGTATAGTCCCCTGAGAATGATTTTAAGTCAATAAGAAATAGAATTTTGTCTTATAATTGCATCTTCCATGCAATAGTTTTAAAGGATAGCCAATACCAAACTTGGAAATAATATATTTTCAGAAATACCATTCTCTGGAATATCATTCCTGGTTATCTTATTTCCATCAGTGTAATGTTATTTATTGAAACAAAAATGTGTCCTGAATATCATTTCCACCGCTTTATTCCCTCCATGCATGCACCTTTTAAACAAGCTGAATGATTCTTCAAAGAATTCTGTTTTCTGCACTTCAATGATGTCTGTCACTCTTGTTAACAAAGTTTGCTTCTAGACCTTCAAGGTTACAGTCTTCAGCTGGCTAAACTAGGAGATGTTAGGTTTTACTTAGTCTAAACAAGGGCAAGTTAAATATAGTAAAGTTATTGTTATCATTGTGATATGAGCATCTCTTCTTTCCCATGATTTCCAAGATAAGAATTCCATAGTTGTTATTTTGGGGCTTGGGAAAAGGGATTCTGCATATTGTTCTGTACAAATCTATCCTTTTTTGTCATGTAGTCCAAGAAAATGACATGATTTTCAACTTCAGAGATGGACCGGAGTGTGAAGCGCATGTTGAAGCTGATAGAAGAGGATGCAGATTCATTTGCCAAAAAAGCTGAAATGTATTATCAGAAAAGGCCAGAATTGGTTGCTCTGGTTGAGGAATTTTACCGTATTTACCGTGCTCTAGCTGAACGTTATGATCATGTGACAGTAGAGTTACGAAAGAATATACCCTCTGATCTCCAATCCCAAGGTTCTGGTATTTCTGATGCCGGGTCTGAACCGTCCTCTGCCTGGCCTTCTCCAACTCCAAAGAGGGGGGTTCGGCTTAAATCAAGTAACCGAGCTGCTGGGTTTGATTACTTTCTTGGCTCCAGTGGAAATGGTTCTGATGTACAAAAAGATGGGGATGAGTCCTCGACTTTGACAGATTCTGAGGAGGAATCTGATGATTCATCAGTTAATAATTATTCTGGTTTCTTACAGAATGGCAGTGATCCAGCTATAAACAGAAGAATGACGGAGTTGGAATCTGAGCTCCGTGAGGTAAAAGGAAAGCTATGGATGCAGGAAGAGGAAAATGCAGAGGTTTCATCTAGGGGATCAAGAAATGAGAATACTGAAGATTTTTATACCAAAATTAATTCATATGAACAAGAACTGATGACTGTTAATGAGAAGTTAAGAGTTTCAGAAGAAGAAATTACTAAACTGAAGTTTGAGCTAGCAAAATACAGACCATTCAATACAGAAAATTTGGAGGCTGGTTTTGCGTTTTCATCTACTAAAGAACATGTTGATAATGGAGAGGAATCCCTGGAACACAAGATGATTGAGGCCGAAAGCATTGATGGTGTGAATAAGGAATTTTTTGAGCAAAATGGTGAGATTGAGTCTCTTGCAGGGAAGCTAAGAAATACCAAAGAAAATCTGAAAGCTTCCGAAACACAAATTACTTCCCTGAAGTTTGAGGCCAATAAATCATCTGAAAGAATTCAGCAGTTGCAGGATCAGCTTGACTTGGCTAGGAAAGACATTGCTACTTGGAAAACCAAATTCAATAGTGAGAAAAGAGAGAGCACCAAACTCAATGAAAGACTTGCAAGGTTAAGGACTAGTCTATCAGACCGTGACAATGAGATTAGGGATTTGAAAACAGCAGTATCTGATGCTGAGCAGAAAATCTTCCCTGAGAAAGCTCAGTTGAAGACTGAAATGTCAAAGTTACTGGAGGAACGGACACATGTAGAAGAGCAGATCAGAGACTGGGAATGTCGAGGCCGCTCATTTGAAGAGGAAATCAGAAAGATCCAGTCTGAAAAAATAGAGATGGAGGAGACACTCAAGGGTGAGATTCAGCTGTTAAAGGTAGACATAGAGGAGAGAGATAACACCATAAATGATCTTAACACAAGCCTTGATACTCTTAAACTAGAGAAAGATAATTTGCATGCTGAAGTCGGGTTCCTCAAGGAAGAGGTGAACTCCAAAGATGGTAGGATTGAACACCTGAACAGCCATTTGAACCAGCTGCACATGGAACACGTACAACTGATTGCTGGAATGGAGGAAGCACACAAACAAGTGGAAGAGCTAAAATCAAAAGCTAAGCAACTTGAGGAGGAGGTTGAGAGGCAAAAATTTGTGATCTTAGAAGGAGCAGAAGAGAAACGTGAGGCCATAAGGCAGCTATGTTTCTCACTCGAACACTACAGAAATAGCTATAATATGCTTAGACAACATGTTATGGGGCACAAACGGGTTCCAGTGTTGGCTGCCTAATGAATAAATGTGAAGGTGATCTTGTATATTGTTTGGCTATCTCCATTTCTGTCTTGGAATGCTTTACTTATGCGTATGATTTTAGTGTATATGAGTCAACTTCATGTGTTGATGACCATGATAGCTATACTAATACATATGCTAATGCCACTGCTAAGTTTCATCGATCTTGGTAAGAAGCTGTGCCATAGAACCCTTCCTTAATGGTTCATGAGAGATCAAAATTTGCTTAGATGTTATATTTGTATAACCACCGACTCGTCTGATGTGAATTGTTGTGTAACTGTCTTTGGTAATGTAGCATTAATTTTCTTTGGGCTTGTTCTTGCTCTTAAAAATTGGAATTCTTTAGAAGCTTTACTGAAATTGAGTTTTAGATTGAATTTGATTTTCAACTGGCTCCTTCACCAATGCTGCAGTTCCTTATTTTTTGGCAAGCTAAAACGGATGGATGATGTGTTTGGAATTCCTTAAGAGATTTTTTTGTTTCTTTTTTATAAATAAAAGGATCAATTATCATCAACTAGATCATCATTGTTTGGTTTTAGTAATTGATTTTCTATAATTAGGTGCGGAATATTCAACCATAAAATTAAAATCCATTGAAAAATATTGATTATAGTTATTGAAATTTTTCTTATAAGTAATTTTTTATCTGCAAAATTTGAACTTCATACCCTACTTTATAAGACCTATTTTAATGTTATACCAATGCATTTTAACCACTATAGATGCACCATGAAAACATTCTGATATAATATAACAAGTATTTTAGTACCCAGTATTCAATATTATTATATATGATTATATAATATGGTATAATATAATACTATAACTATTTTTATATGTTTTTTCATATAGTGATCTATAATAATATAAAATTGAATATTTATGAGATAGTATAATTGAACTTGTAGTTTTTACTATACAATAATTTTCATTAGCTTTTTAATTTAGTAAAATAAAGTATTTATATTATTATATAACTTTTCTGTACTATTAAATACAGTACAGTATTTTGCATTAATGTTTTTATAATATTTATTATATTACTAATACATAATATTTTATATTTCAATATTATGTTATATTTATTATATGTAAAATTTAAAAATTATAAAACAAATATACTTTATTTTTAAATAATATTAAATATTTTCGCTAATCCTATAATATCTATTATTATTTTACATATATTTTTATTATTGTGCTATATCTTTTAAGTTTTTTTTTATTTCAATTTTTTATCAATAAAGTTACGATATTTAGTTCAGTGGTGAGAAACACACGACACTGTCTTCAAATTATTAGTTCATTCTCAGTAACTTTTAAGAAAACTAAGTATAAGTGAAAAAACATACTACGACACTCATTGTGAATAGGATGACTTTTTCAAACTATTTTAGGCAACAAACTTATTGGTGGTTTTTTCATGACAATTTAAGATCATTTAAGATTAAAAAAATAAATAAATTAGAATTATAATTTTAATTGAATGAAAAAAAAATTCTATCTAGATTGAAAATCAATGATTGTTTTTAACACAACAATTAAATTGAAGTTTTTAATAATATAACTAATTAAATTAAATCAATAGAAAGATCCAATAGGTAATTTTAATTTAGCCTGTATATGTGTATTAACATTCACTATTATACATTATTGAAATAAAATGTCATATTATTAGCACAAACATTTAATTAAATATCGATAGTTAAATTTACAAACGGTGAGATTGCACAACGAAAATAGCATGGATTCAAATTCACGAAGGGGAAGAGTTAAAACAGAAAAAGGTGAGGGACCAAAACCAAACTTAACAAATAAATGATATATAGAAGTAAATTGAATAAAAAATGTGAAACATTAACATAGATACGTGTATAAGAAAACATTGACAGAATCCACTACCCTATCTTATTGTTGTTGTACTTTATTTTATTCCCTTACTGGCAATTACTAAAGCTACAACAAACAATATAGGAACCCCGAAGATCAGAAATTCTGAACCAAAAAAGAGAAGAACACAGAAAATGGTAACAGGAACCAATAATTTTACTGGAAAATCACCCTTTCGGCCTTGCCTCATCTCTAAATCATTTCCTTCACCTTCCCCCTTTTGATCAGATTCACTCTTACCCTGCAAAAATATTATAGCATGATTCAGATTAAACCACATTTCAAAGTAAAAACCATCATTATGAAGATAGATATTTTATTAATGAGTGCTCTTAGAATACTGATCAAAGATTTTTAATTGCAAATAATACAAGAGGAGTGCAAGATTTTAATTTTGGTTGGAGCAAATTTAAACACGGCCCACATTGACTATCTAGGACTAAATTTTGTCACTAAATAAAAAAACTTGAACCGAATAAAATAATTTTCCATTATTTTTATTTATAAATAAAAATGGAAGTGGTGGTTATTTTTTTTGTAAGACCCAAACTAAGATTTTAATTACTTTTAGTCTAAAATTATCTTAATTAAAAAAAAAAACGTTTTTTATTCAAGATAATAAACGACGTTTTGAATCCGCTGTTGGATCTGAGACAAAGTAATTGTAGGCCTTTCTTCCAAATCTCCATTACTCACATTGCCTACTTCTTGGGCTTGGGCCATTCCCAATTTTTTGTTTGCTTATACATGGATAATTGGAATATTCTTCTTCTACTCCCATAATTTTTTTCCGCTTCCTTACAATCTATGTTAAATAAAAAATTATGCTATGTATTTAACTTTTGTGTACACCTCATGATCCTGCATCTCCTTTCTTCTTCTGCATTGCAAGGTAGGAATATTGACAAAACACAAAGAATAACAAATTTGATAGCAATAATTTGATTCGCAATCAGAATGTGTAAGAAGCATTTGATAGCATACATCTGAAAATTTACCAAATTAATGTCTCTCAAAGTTTATTTGTTTTATCAACCATTATTCTCATTCGAATTTATTCACTTGATCCAGAATTTAAAAACCATATTATTCTGAATTCATTATTCAGGAGCCTGTTTATATTAAGACCATTATTGTCTTTTAGATGAATATCGGATTAGAATTTAGGATTTAAAGTTTAGAACGATAGTGAATAATTTGATGAAAGAGTAAAAATGGGTCTTTGAAATTGCTTAGAATTACTGTTGGCACCACCTTTTTCTTTTCCTTACCAGATTGAACCGTATATGTCTGGATATTATTAAGAAAATTATTGAGGATTATAGGATGGAAGTGGTGATTTTGCAGTGAAATGTAGTTGTAAAAAGGAGTGGGTTGGTGTTGTACTTTTTTTCGTAGATGCAGGAAATGTGATATCTTTGATTCATTTGGGTTTGGTGCGTGCCATGTCTCCATTATCCTTAGTCTTTTTCTCTGGTAGTAGGTGAGGCAGCATCACAATCACAAATCTCCACCTCAAACTTAATTAAACTCCTTCATTCAATCTTAAATCATAATTATTATTTCTCCACATTCCTATTTATCTATCCTTCTCCCTTTTCTCTCAAATCTCACTCAATTATCATATGTTAAGGTTTGGAGGTAGGAATTTATTTTCATCCGACCAAAACTTTAGCCAATCAGAAACCGAATTTAAAGAAGCTCGGATTAAGACTTTTATTTATTTTTAACTTTAAATAAAATTATTCTTAATAAATATGTATTGATTAAAAGAATATTAATAAATTTTTAAGTGTCATTTAGCCATTAACAAAAAAAACTTTTGTCTCTTCTTGTAATAGTTGAATTTTAAAATGTGAGAGATTAGAACTTTTTAACCTCAAGAGGAAACAAAACAAGTGTTACTTGATTTAAAAAGATAGAAAATAGCAAATTTGTTATGGAAACTGAGTCTTTTATTTATTTTTTAATAAAAAATTTAAGAAAGTGAGTTATTTTGTATTTATCGGAAATAACTCAATAATATACAATAGAGAGAATATTTTTTTTATTCATAATACTCATAAAAAATGCTAAAATTTGGAGTGATCATGACCCAGCATCCCATCCACCCCTTCTCGCCGTCTCATTACATGTTAGATAAATTAACAACTTATTAGGTGTAGTTTTCACAGAACATGAGTTTTTATTTATCTAAGAAATGAAATTAGTTTGATAAGTGAGTGATAACTTTCAAAGATTAAAATTTAATTATATTTTTGGATAACTACTCTTTCAGTAATTTTTTTACACATCTCATATTTATACACATTCACTTAAAATATGAAAATATAATATTTATGATAAACGTTATAAAATTTAATATTTTTAATAAATAATTATTTTTATTTTTATATTTAATAACTTACTGGATTTACATTCATATAATCAATTATTTTTTACATTAATCAATATATTATTGGGTTGACGTTTATATTATATATTTATAATTTTAAAATATCTATCTTAATTTAAAACAATTTAAATATAAAAAATATATTTTATTTAGATATAAATTAAATTATACTATTATTCAAAATAAATCTTCAAAATATTTTTAAATTATTTTAAAGATTAAAAAAAAATTAATCAGTTTTTTATTTTAAACAATTTGTAAGTAGGCATGGCAACGGGCGGGACGGGGCGGGGGTGGGTTTTGCCTCCCGATCCCGGCTCCCGACTTTTTAATCATCCCCGTCCTCACCTTCGATCCCCGTCGGAGTTAGAAATTAAGTTCCCATCCCAGTCCCGATCTATATTATTTTTAAAACGATAATTAAATTTATAATAAATTAATTTTACTATCTATTTTTTATATATAAATAAATATTTATAATTTTATAATTTATAATAATTATTAATTAAATATACATTTTAATTTATTATATTGATATTAAAATATGTATGTAAAAGAAATATTTAATCATTTTTTATTTATAACATTATTATTATTATTATTATTATTATTATTATATCTGTATTCAAATATTTGAATACTTATAACATTATCATTATTATTATAATACTGTATTCAAACATTTGATTATATATATAAGTTAATT